GCAGCCGAGGGGCACAACCCCCCCTCCCCCTGCTGGCCACGCTGCTGGGGATGCAGCCCGGGGTGCGGGGGGCTCGCTGGGCTGTGAGTGCACATTGCCGGGGGGTTGGTGAGCTTCTCCTCCACCAGGACCCCCATGGGTGGTGACGTGGGATGCTGCAAATCCCGGTGCAACCCCCCGAGGACGCTAAGCATTGCAGTCACCCCTTGCAGCCCCTTTAGGGTGTTTTCCCACTTGCCGTAGCAAGTGCCTGTTGCATTTGCTTGGAGAAAGGGTCTAAATTCCACCCCAGGATGAGGGTGGTTGAAGGAGTCTGGACCAGAGCCCAGCACCCCCCACCCTCCTGGGGTGATGCCCCGTGTCCCAGGGTGCTACAGAGACCTCCTGTCCTTTCTCAAATCACTTTGGCCTCCAAAATCCCTCGCCCCCATCCCCTCGGTCCCCCCATCCATCACTCCCCGATGCTTATCTAACCCACCGTGCATCCCGGTGACAGGCTCCGGCAATATTAATGGTGCCAGCCTATTTTGGGGACAGCAAACCGCCGGGTCGCCGACGAGGTGAGAGCGCCACGGGGGAAGGGGGGGGAGAGGCAGGAGGGGGGACCGCCTCTGCGCCAGTGGGAAGGAGCAGGAGGTTAATGTCTCCCCGCGCAGTGGCAATCGCCGGGTTTTTGTCAGGAATAAGATTTTTACTGGGGTTTATAAATAATGCAGTAGACAGCCTTGGGCTGCCCGAGCTCTGCTCCGGTGCCTTAAATGTGCCTTTTCCTCTCCCCGTGGCCCCTTTTCCTCCCGCTCCTCGGTGTGGGCGCATAATTTGGGGCAATCGCCGTCGGATGCTGCCGAGTTATCACCCTTTTTCTCCCCAGTAAAGAAGCGTTGGGCTTGGGCTGCTCCTATCCCCCTCCTCTCCGTGGGTTCACCGACGACTTTATATGTAGCTCCTCTCCAAAAAAAATTGACCCCAGGGTGCAGATAAAAGGCTGAAAGTAGGTCTAATCCCTGGAGAGAGACTATTTTCTATGCGCCTTTTCATCGGAGCCTATTAGCTGCCTGTAATCCCTCGAGGATGCGACCGACCGACCGGGCTGTGGCATCTTCCCTTGCCGTGCGGCCTCGGGGGGATGCGAGGGGTCCCCGAGGACGGGGGTGGAAAGAGCGTTGGCGTGAGTGATGCTTAGAGCTGCATTTTTCCCATTCCCATCCTCGGATCTAGCTCGTTGCTTGCCTGCTTTGCCCACATCTGTCCAGATGTGCTGGGGGGGCGGGGGGGGGAACCTGTAGCTGCAAAATCCTGGTCCATGGGCATCACCTCCACCTCTCCCTGAGCATCCCCATCCTCTCTTGTATCCCCAAAATAACCCCTGGAAAAGCCTTTGAGCTGCTGCGCGAAGAGCTGCTGGATGCGGGAGCAGCTCCAAGGTTTCTCCCCAAAACCCACCCCGGGGCGTAAATAAAAGTCGGGAAAAAATCGGTCGCGTCCTTGAAAACTTCCCCTCGTTCCCAAGGCTGGAGATTTACAACTCGGATAATTCTCCTTGCAGTTCCTTACCCCGCGTCCGTGCCAGCGTGTATTTTCTTTGCAATAAAAGCCTCAGCCTCGGCTAATAAATTTGAAGAGGTGGTTTTAGTGACAGCTTTTTTTTTTTTTCCCCCTTTTTGCCATTAAAAAATAAAAAAAAAAGGGGGGTGGGGAGGAAGAGAAAATCTGGAATGAAAGTTGAGTTTTGCCCAAGGAGGGAGAGAAGTGCTGGGTGGGGAGAGTGGGGTCTCCCCTCCCGAGAGACGCTGGGTTTGGGGGGTTAATCCCCAAAATCCCCTTCTCCTGTGCCCGGCCTTTAAAAACAAAAACAACCCCAAAAACGACTATTCTAACCCTCTGGTGGATCAATCTGAGCTGTTCTAGCCCCAAAAAGTCCATCTCCCATCGGCATTGCATTCTTCTGCCTTTTCCTCCTTAATTTTGTACTCAACTTTGCTCCTCACAAGAGGGGGAGATAAATCTGAAGGCGCTGGGGGACACAGGGAAGAAACGAGTCCTCCCCAGTCCCCAAAAGAGCCTTTTTCCACTTAAAAATTACAACCCCAGTGAGCGGCTGGAGACAGGAGGTGGTGATGCCATAACCGGATAGAAACGCGCGGGTTTTGCTTTTAATCTCAGCAGGCTCGTAATAAAGAACTAATATTTACTGAAGCTTAATCAAAATGTTGAAAACAAATATATCAAAAAGAAATATATTACACATAAAAACCTTATAAACAATTAAAAAGCGGGTGGGAACTTCTTGTGCCTTTGCAAAAGTGACCACGGGTGTCTCACACATGGGTTTTTTCTCGCAGGTGACCGATGGTGGCACCATCAAGCAGAAGATCTTCACCTTCGATGCCATGTTCTCCACCAATTTCTCGCACATGGAGAATTATTTTCGGAAGAGGGAGGATCTGGTCTACCAGTCCACCGTGCGGTAAGTCACCCTCGTGTCGCCTCCTTTGACACGTCGGCTGCTTTTTAATGCCTGGTTTTAGGATTTTCTTCCCCATTTTGGGGCAGTTGAGGGTGTTATGGCAATGCTCGACGCATTCTCTTTGGCTGTCGGTGGGGATTCGTTGCGTTGCAAAGAGATTGTTGTCCCTGAATGCGCCATCACCAAATATCTGAGGTCTCTCCCCATGGTCCTGCGTGTCCCTAGGGGAAAGGTGACGCTGGCAGAGATTTCCAGGGGTGAAACTGGGCAGAGAAAAAACAAAGCTTGGGGAAAAAAAAAAAAAATATATATTTGTGTATATATATAACACAGGCAGCGTGGAAGCTTGTCTCTGCTTTTCTTCCAAGTGCGAAATCACTTGCAGGAGTGTCAGCTTTATTACTAATTACACACTTGCTTTATTGCCGGTGTTATAAAAACAAAACTGGAGCCTGAAAAAAGATGTCAGGGGGAGACTTAATTCAAGGCAAAGAGGCTGGGGTGAAGTATTCGTTTTTCGTGATTTTTTTTTTTCTTTGTTTCCTTTTCAAATTAAAATTTGCCGATTGGATTTCAAAGCTCGTTTTTTTCCCAGCGTGGGGTAGTAAAAATTCTGGGAATGGTGGGGAAAATAGAGTCGTTTCCTCAAGGTGATGTGACGCTTTGCACCTGCGAATGCCTGTATACGGGTTGGAAGGGGTTCGGCGTGGCTTGTCCCGTCGGACAAGCATGAAATTCTTTCTAATTCTTTGGAATCTTAATTTTTGGGGTTCTTTTGGTGGTCTTTCTGCTATGCGCAGAGCGATGTTTTATTATAAGCAGGAGCAGTTGTGTTAGATGGCTGCACGGGAATAAGTGGGAATATAGAGTGGAGAGAAGAAGCAGGAGAGAGAGCAGGGCTGGAGAGGAGATGATCGGGGTTACTCAGGAGATGCTCAGAGGATGCACAGGGGTTGCTCAGGGGATGCTCGGGCGATGATCAGGGAGATGTTCAGGAGATGCTCAGGGGTTGCCCAGAGGATGCTCAGGAGGCTCAGGGGATACTCAGGGGAATGCTCAGAAGATGCTCAGGGGGATGCTCAAGGGGTGCTCAGGCAATGATCAGAGACAGCTCAGGGAGATGTTCAGGGGTTGATCAGAGGATGCTCAGGAGGGTCAGGAGGTGCTCAGGGGAATGCTCAGGGGATGATCAGAGGTTGCTCAGGGGGGATGTTCAAGAGATGCTCAGGGGGTGATCAGAGGATGCTCAGATGATGCTCAGGAAGGACAGGAGATGCTCAGGGGGATGCTCAGGGCATGCTCAGGCGATGATCAGAGGTTGCTCAGGGGGAATCTTCAGGAGGTGATCAGGGGTTGCTCCAAGGATGTTCAGGAGGGTCAGGGGATACTCAGGGGAATACTCAGAGGGTACTCAGGATGCTGAAGGAGGATGCACAGGGCTTGCTCAGGGGAGGCTGAGGAGAAGCTCAAGATGCTCAGGGGTTGCTCAGGAGGGTCAGGGGATGCTCAGAAGATGCTGAGGAGGTGCTCAGAGGATGCCCAGAGGATGCTCAGATGATGCTCAGATGATGCTCAGAAGGGTCAGGAGATGCTCAGGGGGATGCTCAGGTGATCAGAGATGGCTCAGGGAGATGTTCAGGTGATGCTCAGGGGTTGCTCAGAGGATGCTCAGGAGGGTCAGGGGATGCTCAGGGGATGCTTAGGAGGGTCAGAGGATACTTCGTTGCTCAGAAGATGCTCAGAGGATGCTCAGGAAGGACAGGAGATGCTCAGGGGGATGTTCAGGGGATGCTCAGGTGATGATCAGAGGTTACTCAGGGGGATGTTCAGGAGATGCTCAGGGGCTGCTCCATTCCTTGAGTTTTGTTCCCCCAGGTAGCGCAGGCTCCGCTCCGCCGCTCGCTGGGATGTTGTACAAATTTCTGACATGACTAATTATTGTTTAGAGGAGGTTTTGGCGGCTTCACAAACAGATTACACATTCCCTAACTCAACACCCTTGTTTCCCTGCCATAAACCCAGCGGTTTTGCTCCGGCACTGGATTTAGCCAGTGCTCTCCTCTAGAAGGGAGCACTGGAAAAATTGGGGAATTAAACCAGAATAAAACATCCCCCATGCACAGAGCAGGACATCCCGACCACGAGCATCCCTTGAGGAAGGGACAAGGGCATTGCACCGTCCTGGTGAGGCAAAACAAATGATTATTTTTTTTTGGCTTAGAAACCTCTGTTTTTCTCCCTTTCACCACATATTGTAGAACTAATAGAATTTGGGAGCAGAAAATTTGGCCGCCCTAGGACCAGGCACTTAAAAGCGTTGGTAATCGTCAGCCACGGCGCCGGCAAATTGTCCGTGGAGCCGGGGATGTTCGTGGTAAAAGCGTTTTCACGCGGTTGTTTTCAGAGGAAAACAGCAACACGCCTGGGGAGAAAGGAGATATTTCTTGGAGGGTATGAAAAGAGCTTGTTTTCTGAATCATTGGCTTGATGCTTTTTTTTTGGGGGGTTGGGGAGGGGGGGGGTTTTCTGCCTTATTTTGGGCTCTGGTGAAGAAGAGGAGCAATATTGGGAAGGGTTTGGTGATGGGTCAGTCGCTTTACAGCCGTTTCCGCTCAGGTTCTCTCCCCCTTTAATTTTACCCTTCTGTATTTTCACCTTTTCTTTTCTTTTCTTTTCTTTTCTTTTTTTTTTTTTTAATCTTTTTAATGGCACGGTCACATCGGTGCCGTCCCACGGAACGTTATCCCGGGCGGCGCGGCTCTTATCTGCGCGGCGCAGAGGGCTGCCGGGGCTGCCTCTTTTCATACCGGCTTTGAACGCCGCCCGCTCAGATGTGAAGAGCAAAGCAGGGAGACATCCAGCCCTGGATTTTTTTTTTCCCTTCCTCTGATTAAAATCCCGCCCTCGTCGAGTAAGGCACTGCTTTATGAATATCTATATAATTTTTTCCTTATTTCCACTATGCTTAGAGGACGCTGAGGACACGACAGGCAGCATTTTGGCTTTGCAGGGCTGGGGGACCCCTCTCTCTCGGTCCCTACTGATGGCAGAAGCATCAAACCAACCCGATTAGGACCATTTTACACCCAAATCCATGCTCAAACCCAAAGGGCTTGTCCTTCACGGCGAGGGGCGGCCGTCGGGATGGAGAGGGTCCCCAACTTGGCGGGGACCGAAACCGCCGGCACTGCTCCCGCGTGCCGCTAACGAAGGGTGTGGATGATTTCCCGCTCGGTGCGTGGGTAATTAGAGGCTGGAACAGATGGTGAAGGCTTAGTTGAAAGCGTCGCAGCCATTAAAAGGAGCTGCCAAGCGACTGTTCGCTTCGACGGGGGCTTGTTTGTGCTGGCGGGGGGCTCGCACGGCGAGGAGGAGGTGTGGGAAGGCGGCCAGGGGCTTTCGGAAAGGATCCAGCAAAGCAGCGCTGGATTTTCCCCCCACCCCCCC